GCATGGTTTCTTCATAATATGCATTTTTCCATGAATTTGGAGACTCGTTATATGTTTAATGGGACAGTGCAGTAGGTGCCTGGGGCCTGGAGCTTTGACTTGTGTGGTCCTGCCTGGCACCACCTCTCTAAAACAGCTTCCCAGCCACCCACTCGACCACCTCTAGCACCCTGGGTATCACTCGGCAGCCATCCAGTGGCGGCTTTGGTTTCTCCCCAAGGCAGAGGCCTGGAGGACTCAGCAGGGTACCTCCTACACCCAGAGAAGAGGCCATAATGCCTTTGGTGGCAGTTCATCATGGATTGGGGCAGCAAATCCACTAATGGAAGGAAAGCCGCAGTTTCACCGGACCCATTAGTAGCCAGCAGCCAGTCCTGACCGGAGCGGCTGCTGTCACCCAGGGTTCTTTTCTGAACCCCCTTTTCTCACTTTGTCCATGGTCCCTGGGGGAAATGTTCCATTCCCATTGGACTCAGTCGACGTGTCTGTGTGCCCCTCCCCTGGATGCTGCCCTGATCAGCCTCCACACCTACCTCAAGTCGGCCTGCCTTGCTGTTGCTTCCACAAGGAGCTGGAATGAAACCTTCATCAAATCATTCCCCCATTTCACAGTCTTCTGTGGCACCCAGTGCCTTCAGGACAAAGTTCAAATCCCCTTTCCCCAGCCAATGAGAACCTCATGGCTGGTCCACCCACCAATATCCCTAGCCTCATCTCTTGCCACTCTCAACATGCCCTTCAGTCGCTGGTGCCTTGGCATATACCTCTCCCTGGCATGCCACTCTTCTTCTGCATCTCCACACCAATTCATCCTTCAAGACCTAGTTCAAATGTCACCAACTCCTGAACGCCTTCCCTGACCTGCTCAGGCTGTATGTAGTACCTGCCCTTCGCTGGGCTGCCACGTCCACATACTTTGCCAGTCCAGGAGGTTGCACACTCAATGCCACTTGCTATTTTCCCTCTCTTACTGGACTCATTCAAGGAGAGAAATTGCCCTCATGCTGCTTTTCCACATATGGGTTAAATCAGTACTCAGGTGAACTGAGGTCAAGAACTGTCTGCCATCCTCACTGCAATCAGTAATAACACGAGGGACTTCCAAACGTCAGTAGGAAATGGAATTATCGGATATTTATTTTGGTGCACAAGTGTTTTGAAATGCATACATGATTTTTTCATCACGTGAATTTTAATAAAATTTTCAAAGATCTCACTAAATTTACTTTCCTTTGAAATAGATATTTTTAATTACATCCTTGTTTTAAAAGAACACAGGTAAAAAACTAGTACAAGTTGTTTTTTTTTAAGTTATTCATTCTGTAAAAGTAAATACATTTTTCCCCCTCTGTGGTCTAAGCATAACTATTGCATTAATTCATGTTATAGATGCTGTGGTCACCATTGCTTAAATCTCCTTAAGTCAATGGAATTGTCTTTAAAAAAAAAAAAAAAAGATTTGTCTATTTGGAAGGCAGAGTTACAGCGGGAGAAGGAGAGACAGATTTTCCATCTGCTGATTCACTCTCCAAATAGCCACAGTGGTCAGTTCTGGGCCAGTCCAAACTTGAAGCCAGGAGCTTCATCTGGGTCTCCCACGTGGGTGGCAGGGGCCCAGTTACATGTGCTTTTCCAGGCACATTAGTAGGGAGCTGAATCAGGAGTAGAGCAGCCAGGACTTGAACTGGTGTCCATATTGGGATGGCAATACTGCAGGCAACGGGTTAACCCACTAGGCCACAACACTAACCCCAGGAATTATCTTTTAATATTTCAGAATTACAGACACAGCTTATAAAAAATTTATTATGATGCTTTTATCTTAATTCAAGTAAGTGATGCAACTCCCATTTAGTCAATTATATGTTTTAATGTTTCATTATGGAACTGGGAACAGCAGCCCAGCTTACAACTCATCACTGGCACTCAAGTGGTGATCAATGAGCTATCTCAAACCACATGCTTTCCTTGATTTGTGGTAACTAATATACAGGGTACAAAAAATGTAATATTTATGAGCAAAATTATCATTCTGTGACTTGATTATTGTTTATAGCCCTTGTCTTTACTCCTGAGGAACAGTGGTTTTTCTACTTACTATTTGTTGAATTCTTTATTTAGTAGAGGGTTAAACTTGTGACTGTCAAGTAAATCGAGAGTATGTCACTGCAAAAATGAAAAAGAAAAATAAGGAAGGGGGGGGGAGGGTGAAAAGTTTCATTATGTTCCTAGACCTATTTATATGAAATACATTAAATTTATTCCCTTTATGTAAATACAAATTTTTTAATAAAAAGACATACTTTTTATTTGTCCAGATTATACTGTTTTCACATTTTCCAGTTTTTAAATTATGAGATACTTTATGCATACAACTGTATACACGCAGTGTAAGAAATGATGTAATGGATTTATTTATAAGCCATGTCACTTAAGAGTCTTTCTCACCCAATTGCAGACACATGGTACCTTCCTCCATCCCGTCCCCCTCTCCTCCACCTCGCAGAGTCAACTACAGGCTGAGATTTGGCTGATCATGCCCTTGCTTCCTTGCTTGTGTCGTTTTAATGTGTGTCTGTCTGTCTGTATTTCTACATAATATATTATTTGGTCCTGTATGCTTTACACATCACATGATTTAGCAACTTCCTTTTAAAATTGACCTCATGTGCATAAAAGGGGGTAGCCCCACTTCATTCACTTTTTTTTTTTTTTTTGACAGGCAGAGTGGACAGTGAGAGAGAGAGACAGAGAGAAAGGTCTTCCTTTGCCATTGGTTCACCCTCCAATAGCCACCACGGCCAGAGCGCTGCGGCCAGCGCACCATGCTGATCCAATGGCAGGAGCCAGGTACTTATCCTGGTCTCCCATGCGGGTGCAGGGCCCAAGCACTTGGGCCATCCTCCACTGTACTCCCTGGCCACAGCAGAGAGCTGGTCTGCAAGAGGGGCAACCGGGACAGAATCCGGCACCCCGATCGGGACTAGAACCTGGTGTGCTGGCGCTGCAAGGCAGAAGATTAGCCTAGTGAGCCACGGCACCGGCTTCATTCACTTTCATTGTTGTACAGAATTTCTTTACATATCAAGGATGAATTACAAGTTACCTGGCAAGTGGGAGCTGTGTCTTCTTGGTGAAATCACAAGTCAAATGAACTCCTTCAAAATCTTACAACAACTCAAATATAGGGGGAATATTTTCCATGAAGGGGTTTTGTTTTTCATTCAAAGAAATCATGAAAGTTGCAGATATTTCCATTCATATTTTAGGATCACTATGAACCAAAATTATATAAGGCAATATGCTCAGAATTTGAGAAAACTCTCATTGCAAACTTGCTTATCATTTCATCTTCTCGGCAGTCTATTCCTCCCAGCAATTAACAACAGAGAGAATTAATTCCAAAGTCCCTGTCGGTAACAATATATTTTTTTTTAATTAGAGACAACTAATAAGATTGTTGCTGCCTGGATACTGGTCTCCAAGTCCCCTCATTTCCCAGGCAAGTTGAATCCTGAACTAATTCAGGTCTTTGGAGTTCGAAGTCATAAGTTAATGTAACTAAGAGACTGGATAGTTAATCCAATGGTGGCATTTAGGAAGGGGGCCTCGCAGGAGGTCCTTAGGTCTTCAGGCACGTGCCCTCAGAAGGTAGTTCACATGAGCCGGTTGTTCATAAAAGCCTGGACCTAATCTCTCAGCTTTCTGGGTCGCTGTGTGCTCTTTCCTCTGCACCTGCTCCTTCATTGCTAGCCACAGCCCCCTGCAGAGGCCAAACCCGAAGGGCCACCTGATCTTGGATTTGAACCTCCAAACTGTAAGCTGAAGACATCCTTTTTCATTGTAAACTTAATTGCCTGCAGTATTTCACTGTAATAGTGAAAAACTGCTACATCGTGTTGTCGAAATTTCTCCTCGTGGAGTCCCATCTGATGCCTGACTACAAGGTACTCACAGTGAGCTGCAGTCTGCACCAAGCTTCTTAAACAGCTCTTGCTGGGACTCTGAAATTCTGTAAATTTCCAGAAGTTTGACGACAAAACTTAGCACATGGAGTGAAACAGCCAAGTTCTGTGTGCTGGAAAGGAGCTGCTAAAAAAAGCAGCGGGCAAGGGCTGAGGATCCCCAGACAGCAGTGGCTACGAAAGGGAAACCCTGTCCACCTTCTACTGGATGACAAGGATCCAGGGAGAACCTGAGGATAAACTGTCCAAGCTGAGGAAAAGGTGGATTCTGGCAGTTGGGACTTTGTTTCGATTGTAGCTCTACATTGGATACCCTGCTCACATTTGGTGTCTTGGAGGCAGAAGCATTTCGGAAAGGAAAAGGCCTGGTAGAGGGGGACTGTGTGCCAACCACAGAACTATTCAGAGTCAACTATTCAGAGTCGCTATTTGAAAGAGAGGGGAAGGGAGAGAGGGAGGGAGGCGAGGGGAGAGAGAGAATCCTCCATCCGCTGGTTCACTCCCCGAATGCCCAAAACAGCCAGAGCTGGGCCAGGCAAAAGCCAAGAGCCAGAAGCTCAAATCTAGGCCTCCCACATGGATGGCAGGAACCCAACTACTTGAGCCGTCAGAACTTCTGCCTTCCAGAGTGCATACCAGTAGGAAGTAGATCAGAAGCGAAAGAACCAGGACTCCAACACAGACACTCTGATGTGGCAAGTGGGCATTCAAGCGGCATCTTAACCAAGCCGAACTCCTGCTTACCTCCTGTTTCTCTTACAGTCAAGACCCCAGGCTCTGGTGCAGTGTAACATGTGGAGGGTCTTCCAGTGATTAATACAGAACGTTCTTGATGCCCTTTATGGGTGAAGACTCAAAATTACCTGACATTTTTGAACCCCAAATGGTATGAAGAAATCCTTATATATTCCATACGGAACAAAACACTGTGTTGTCTCGAATATGTTTCACACAAATCAGTGCCTTGTCAGACCACATGTCATTGACTACAGTGCCCAGCATCGCTCTGAAAGACATACGCTGTGAGACGGCAGCTACGTCGAAAAAGTTTTAATGCGGGGTCTACACACTTGGGTGCTGTTGTGTGTAATGGCACCATTTGTTTCGCAAGTAAAAATCCGTAATTTCAAAGACGGCTCTGCAAGACAGGCCGCAACCATCCTGTACATGTCCACAGAAGCACGCTCGCCCTCTACATCAGAGGACAGCTGAACATCCCAACGCGGGCTCCTTGTTTTCTGGGACTCCAGCTGTGGCCACCCATCTTCCGTACGAAAATTCTCCTGGATGGGACCTGTGGACAGCAGCAGATCTGTTCAAGAAATAAATTACAATACACCTAGGTTATACATAATTCAAATTGATGCTGTCGAAGACTGTAAGCTGAGAAAAACAAAGAAGCTACAAGATAACATAGTGTTAAGTGACCCATTTTCTGGAAGAAGAAAAGGTACACCTGGGCAAATACTCTGAGCATATACACTGAAACAGTGCTAGCCAAGTTGACTTTGGATGGTTGGATTACAAACAACCCTAGTATTTTTCTCTGCTTATCTGAATTTTCTGGATTTTACCAAAATGAAAATATGTTACTTCTACAGTGGAAACTTGTTTCCCTCAAGAAGTAGATACTTCTGGTGAGAAGGAGAGTGTGAATGAGCTAGATTTACTTTAAGTACACATTACATTTAAATAACCATAACTGGAGACAGGATACCAAGACTAGGGTTGGTGCTATGGCGCAGCAGGTTAACACCCGGGCCTGAAGCACCGGTATCCCATATGGGCGCTGGTTCAAGACCCGGCTGCTCCATTTCCAGTGCAGCTCCCTGCTAACGCACCTGGGAAAGCAATAGAAGATGGCCCAAGAACTTGGGCCCCTGCACCAGTGTGGGAGACCCGGAAGAAATTCCTGGCTCCTGGCTTTGGATCAGCGCAGCTCCAGCCATTACAGCCATCTGGGAAGTGAACCATCAGATGGAAGACACCTCTCTCTCTCTCTCTCTCTCTCTCTCTCTCTCTATCTCTGCCTCTCCTCTCTGTATAACTCTGACTTTCAAAAAAAAAAAAAAAAAAAGACACCAAGACTTAGACTTTCTTCAATAGGATGAATAAATTGCCATTCAGGAGCCTGGGTACTTGAGAAGGATCAATCTGCACAAAGACTTTGATGCCTGGGAAAGTCCACGAGTTTCCTGAAAGACCAAGAAGTGAAAATGTTCTCACCTGATAGCAGTGCCCTTACAGCTCAGATGCGGTTATGTGTGTAAAGCAAAACAGATAGAGGCTTGATGAGAAAGCACTGTACCTACATGGGAGGTGGGGGCAAAAGCCAGTGCTTTGTAGGAGAACCAGACCAGGAGTGCTACAGGGCAAGATCTGGGAACTGGTCTCGGGGTGTCTCGGTGGTGTGAGTCTGTGTGGAACAGAGCACCCAACAGATGTGCTCCCCAGGAAGCAAACCAGTGTCCCCGGGGATGCGTGCATCAAGGGGAATGAAGGTGGGAGGAAGTTTACACCAAACGACACGTTCTTCTGACTTGGGTTATTTTGTTCCTTGTACCTTTAAAAGCAGTCAGTGTCATAGTTAATATGAAGTCAATGATTACTCCCAAGACCACTCATTTGGAAAAACTCAAAAAACAGCTCAAATTGATCCAGATGAAACTCAACTTGGGAAAGCTCTTTGACCACCTCCAAATTTCTGATTCTGGTTTCAGCTTAGAGGCAAAGGGTGGAAGTTTTCCTTGTTCTTAGTTTCATATTCTCTCTCTCTCTCTCTCTCTCTCTCTCTCTCTCACACACACACACACACACACACATACATTCTGGCCCTCCTCAATGGTTAAAGTTTTAAATTCTCAAAGAGAGATTAAATTGATAGGAAAGACTGAGAAAAATTCTGTATGACAAATTAGAGCTGAACACTGCTTAGAAAGTGCCATGAGTCTTGTGATTCATTAAAAAGAGCATTAGGGGCAGGGGCAAATGCCTAATGGTTCACTGACCTGTGTCCCGTGTTTGAGTCCCTGGGTTTGATATCTGGCTCCAGCTTCCTGCTAATGTAGACCCTGGGAGGGAGTGGTGATGGCTCAAAGTATTGGGTTCCTGTCCCTTGAGGGAGACCTGGGTTTCATTCCCGGCTCTAGGATTTGACCTTAGCCCAGCTTTAGCCATTGCAGGCACTTGGGGAATAAACCACTGGGTAGGAGCTCTCTCTCTCTCTCTCTCTCTCTCTCTCTCTGATCTCCTTCCATCCCACCTTAATAAGAGTATGTTGGAAGTTTTTTCAAATGACAGTTGTCAAATGGGGCTTTTCAGACACCAGAAAAAAGAGGCCCAGCAGCACCAGTCATTAAACCACAAGGACACAAAGAGCTAGCCTTAATGTAAACCAAACCAAGCAAAAACACACATAGCAAACCCTAACACACACTATGGACTTTAGTTAGTAACAAGCTATCAACAGGGTTCCAAAAGCAGTAAATATTTTAGGCTTAAAATTGCAGGGGTGTTGGGGGTAGGGTGGGATTCCAGTCTACCCTAAAATATAGATAAGAGGCTCTCTTAGCCCCTCCCAAAACAACTGCACCCTTCCTAGGACTTACTTGCATCTTGATTCCATTTGGAGGGTGAGAAGCCTTGCCGTGTGCTCCTGGGGGGATCCGGAGTTCTCCTGGTGCAGACAAGACAACTGCATTCAAGTGCTGAAGATCAACTTGGGTGCTGGGCGAGTCAGTCCCATGGGGAGCGGCCTCAGAGTGCCTCAGAGTCTCGGGCCGTACACAGCGCCCGGTCAGCTTTTCTTCCTGACCTGAAGGGCTGCTGCCTGGCTGCTCTGGCCTTCCCTCCACACTCCAACGCTCCTTCTCCTCCGACACAAAGCCTGGCTCATTTATGCCATGCTGGGACGCTACCCATGTCCAGCTTTGATCTCACTTTCCTAGAGAATCCAAACCAGGAGCTTTGAGAATCTAAAAGGTCCCTTCCCTCACGTTACAGGTGAGCAAGCGGGCTCCCTGACGTAAGGTGACTTTTCTTCACGTCATTAGAGTTTTTAATCGTATGCTTTATGCTCGTCGCTCAGCCTCACAGTGAAGGCAACTAGATAATAGGGTGGCTGACCCATCCGCATCTGTCCAGGATTTTCACTTCAGTCCTAGTCTCCAATGTTCTGTTCAGTAGATGGGCCACATTTAGGAATTCACTCTCTAAGAGCTATTACAATGACTTCTGCAGACATGTTAAGAACCTTCTGGAAGCAACCTACTCCTGTTTACCAAATTCAAATTTCCACTCTGGAACAATGGCTTTCAGCTTTGTAGGGTCAAGTAGCCTCTCAAGGAAGCTCAGGACAGCTATGGGCCCTTCCCTCGCATACTGCCAGCGAAAGACAAAATGTTGCTCTGGCAACATGGCACCCAGCACCCAGCAGTAAAAGCCCCTGGTCTGACAGTCACAACGTCAGAGCGTGTGGCTCTGTGAGCATGGCGCATTACAGAAAGCCACAGACCACAGGACACGTTTAATCCTCACAACAACCCTGTGAGGTAGGTATCAAACCCCCCCCCCCTCGTTTCCCCAGGAGGAAACCACAACAGAGAAATCTGGACATGTGTGCAGGGGCGTCTGGCTTATAGAGGCGGTGCCAGGACTAGGGCACAGACTCCTCCTTCCCTGTCCAAAACACCTTCTTATTTAACATGTTCCATTTTGGGGGTCAAGTTTCCTTTGCTAGCTGCCCAGAGAAGAGCCAGCGTCAGGGCCGTCTTCACTGCAGCAGTGGAGAGGGGGCGAGGAGAGACCACCGACGGCAGCCCATCGTGCTACGTCTGCTGGTTCTCTCCAAGAGTGAGTCCCCAGGCAAGGATACCAGAAAGCGTGTCCTCAATGCTGCAGGCCCTGTGGGCCAGAGACTGCACGTGATTTAAACGAAAACCAAACAGAACCTGATGCCATCTGTGGCAAGATGCACAGTGTTGTCCTGTTTTCATTTTCGCCATTGCGCCGAGTTCTTTGGCCTTTGCCCAGAGAACGGTTGACAGGTAAGTGGAGGGACCCAAAAGCACCTAAGAAAAAGGCAAAATAGACCCTCCAAAGGGAAAACGGGAAAGCTGGAAAACCAACTTCCAAACCTCAGAAAAGATAGAAGACGCTGGAAAATTTGCACAACAGCCAAACACCTCTAGAAGGGAAAGGCAGCGTGGGAGCCCATGACCAGCCCAACACCAGAGATTCCAGATTTCCAGGAAGTCGAAGACTACATTCCTGATGGCTTAGAACATTCTTTGGCAGCTTGCTGGAGGAAACAGTCGTGGGGAGCCTCTGTGACTTTATGCCTGTGTTTCTGAGACGGTGGAGCTGGGCTAGAGCAGGAGAAATCCAGGGTTGTCTGGGGCCTGCGGCAACCACGTGCAGGTTTTCAGGGGCCCATGACAAAGGACGACGCAATGGGCACACTGTTTTAGTGAGGAGGGCCACCCCACTCAAAGCACCAGCCCTCGTTCCACGACCGCCTGCTGCGGGCATTCTTCAAAATCTTCTCCATGGATAGGTTGCCTATGGATTAGGGGTCTATCCAGCCAATGCCTTGGCTCCAGTTTCCTCTGGGCTCTGGGCTGCAAGGCCTTAAGCCCCTCCCACCCAGCATCAAGAACAAATACCTTCACCGGTGGAGAAAGGACTCCCAGACCCAACCCTAAACCAGCAACCTTGCTTCCCCAGGCTCTGCAGACTCAATGCTTTTTCAGTGCCTGCTCTACAACCCCAAGCCCTGATCATTAACAAACCTGACCCCCTCACAAGGCCCACATTCTCGGGGACCCTGCATCAAAGTGTTTTTTTTTTTTTTTGCTTTGTTTTTCTTTAAAGCCAGCACAATAGCACCTCCCTCAAGGTGGCTCTCATCCAGAAGAGAAAATCTAGGAGGTTTTTGTTGTGCCCCCTCCCCAGAGCCAGAAAAAGACCTTTAACCCAAAGATCAAATACAATTAAGAGGTGGGGTGTTTGGTCCTTGCCTTTGCTGGGCTTCAGGGACCCATAAATCAGAAACTAAGTTCTTTTTTTTTCTTCTTTTTTAATCACTTGGAGATAAAAGTCCTTCTTTGTGTTAGGTTATTTTCCAAATTTCTCATAACTTCTTTTTCCTCCCTTTTGCATGCAGCATGAGGGCCAAGACAGGACCCAACATGAGTTGCAAGCTAAAACTACAAATGGCGCATAAAGGTAAGGAGACAGGGTAGCATTATCCCTGACATTGTAGTTATGGGTATCACACGGGGGGCACAGGAACCCTCCCACCCCAGACCTACCTCCCACTCCTGCCCAGTACCCATCCACCAGGCCCCGTCACCACCCAGAGAGAAGCCGCAAGAAGCGGCAGAATCCTTAGCCTGCACATGTCAGCTGGTCTTCTATCCTCAGCTGAATAGCCATTCAGAAGAAAACTTCTGAACCCAGTCTCCACGTTTCTCAGCCCTCTCCTTCCCTACACACTGAAAACAGAGGCCTTGCACACTCATCTCTCACCCTGCCCCCATGCCCTGTGTGGTCACTCTCGACACCAGGGGTGACGCCCCCACTCTGCTCCCTTCCAGCACAGGGGCGCCACTCCTTAGCACATTTTATCCTCAATACCCAGCTACTCGGCATAGAAGAGACCCTCAGAGTTTGTCGGGAGGAAAGGAAGAACGCAGAGGGAGGGGAAGGAAGCATCATCGTTCCTGTCTCTGTCTCTGATTTTCTGAAAAGTTTCTGCCACTGCCTTCCCTCGGGTTGGCCTTTCCTCCATGTTCATTTTTCTCAAAACTAGATCATCTGCGCCCTGATCTCCCTCTGTCTTCGCTGCCTTTTGTATTCTCTGGCTGTAATCTCATCTTGGTATCTGCTTTGCTTCCTCCTCCCCTTGGGTCAACTCTGCCTCTTCTAATTTTTTCCTTTGCAGTGAGAATCAGACACTCCATACCCCACCCGGACCCATCACCAGAGGTCAAGGGGAGGGGAAGGAGGGGCAACAGCAGAGGAACAACCCGGGGGGGCCTGCACACAAAAGCAGCCCGCTACCTGACACTTTGCTTTACTTAATCCCAAAAGGTGACCCCTTGTTCTATTCTCTGATTTCTTCAGAGTGACCCCAAAAGCTCTTCCAGTTACCATCAACCTAGGAACTGGCCCTTGCAAGAGTTTCATGGGGGGCGCGAGGAGTGCTTTGTCTTTGAGCATGTTGCTCCAATAGGCCTCCTGCAGGCCCCACTTTGACAGCAAAGTCTTCCCAAATAGCACTTCAAGGCTGGAAGAGCCCAAGACTGCAACACCCCTACCACGCTCCTCAATTTCTGATCAGAATCCCACCTCCCATAGAGCTGGCCGCTGCGGGAGCTTCTCTCTTCCAGCCCCCAACCTGCCGGGTGCCACAAGTTCTTCATCTCCCCTGATCTCTCCTAAGTAAAGAGGCAATGACATGGCTTCGGAGGCCTAAGCCCTCAACACCAGGTTCCTAACTGGAATTCAGCACTCTCTGCCATGTAGTCCTGGAGAACAGAGAGGGCAGAGTGGGGGGCAAACGGCACTTGTTCCTTTCTTCTTGCATTCTGGTGATGCTAAAATGGATGAGAGGGCTGAGAGAGAAATGAAGCAAATTGACAAGAGCGACTTCCTCACTTCCCATGGCGGGTGGGTGGGTCGCTGACTGACAGACCCTACATTCAGGGTCCTCACACGCATGACAAGGAAACCAGCAGGCCAGGGAGAGTCCATCCACAATGGCCTAACAGCAGATTCCATGTGCTGTTCCTAGCCTCAGAGCCCTGTGAGCCCGAGCCCACACTCCCCAGAGGCTGGTCAGCCTCACAAGGCTGAACCCCAAATCCACAACAGCTCTGGAGAATTACACCTGAATCGCTGTTTATCTCTGCAATATTGCTTCTGTCCCCCAGGACTGGTGGTTCTAACCACGTACTCCATCTGGAGAAAGGATGGGGCAGCTTCCGATTCAGCTCAGGTGTAAGGTGTTTTATCCTCTTCTTAATTTGGGTTCCCAAAAACTGTGGGTAAGTCTCCCACCACCACCATGGATGCAAATCTGCACCGAGAGGGCGGACCTGCTTTAAAAGGGGCTTTAAGGACACCCCCCCACACCAGGATCCTAGCAGAGTCCCTTCCTCCCACTTCCTTTTCCCTGTTTATCAGAACCCATATCACACGTCTAGCCTCGGGAAAGATACTTCTTTCCCCCCACCCCACCATGTCCATACTCAAATCCCGTCTGATATCATTTTAGGGTCCTGGGTTTTTAGGGACCATGGCTAATGTCTGCTTTATAAACTTCAGAACCCACAAGCCAGAGTGCCTCCCCCTCTGGTTTAATACCATGTTTCACCGCTAAGGGACTCCCTCCAGGGACATCGCTGTGATTGAAAAGTCACTTGGGGGATTATGTTCCTTCCTGTCTAGTAAGGAGAGTAAGAAAACCACATCGTTGTATCCTAAGAGATGAGAGAACCAGAGGGCTTTGATAGTACACAGGAATAGAAGCAAGGTGGTTAAAAACCAACCCGAGGCTCTTCTGACTAAGCGCAGCAGCAGCCTGTACCTCGGGGACAGGGGCTGGGGTCCCCGGGCAGCTCCACCTCATTCTAGGGTTCACCAAGTTGAAAAAGAGTAGAAAGCCTGTCTGCTCTCTTCTGGAAGTCAGAAAATCCGGCTAAAAACCCTCCTCTTTGAGCCTAAGAGGGCTGGCCGGTACCCCCCACCCCCCGACCCCCGCCCCGGGCGCAGGGTTCATGGGCGCAACCACAAGCTGCACCCAACTTAGAACCCGCTGGATGGACACTCTTCCCACGGCGGGATCTGAAATTCTCCGGAGGAGCCTCCGAAAAGGGCCATCGCCGCAGCGGGTCGCTTCGTCTGACAAGGCGCGTGGCGGAGAGACCGCATCTCACCCTACAGACCGAAGCTTCCCCTAAGGCCACGGTCACCACAAGAATATATGATTCTGCTACAGTTCAAGATCTCCACAATAGTGGAGGGTGCGGGGTCTCCGGGCCGGCAGAGCTCCCCCGGGGAGGCGCCTGCCCGCGGGGAGGGGCCCGAGCATTAACTGAAGGTGGCTGGCGCGCCCGGGGCCAACGTTCCCAACGGCAGCCGCTCGCCCTCGCGCAGCCGCCAGGAGCTTCCTGGTGACCCGCCCGTCTCTCAGCGCCACCCCGGGGCGAGCCTGTTTTCATGGGCGGAGCACCCAGCCCCTCCGTGTCGTCCTGGCGCGGTGGCCTCTTGCCGCCCCCCCCGCCCCGCACCCCCGCCTGGCCGGTGGCAGCCCTGGCTCTGGCCTGCCTGAGGGTCCTCCCCGCACACGCACCAACCTGGGTGCATGGGGTGCCCCCATTCGCTCCCGGCTACTCCAGGGGAGAAGACCGCCCTCACCCTCGTCCCCTTTCCCGGGACTGTTGGACAGTCTCCGGCTCTCCCGGGTCACAGCGGGGGTCGGCGCCATCGCGTGGAGGAATTGCCAGTTCTGAGGCATTCGGGGCATCCGTGCTCCTGTCTCTTGTCCTAGACAGGTCCTTTGCAGGTCTTTTCTGGCATCTTCCATGCAGCTCTTCTACCACCCTCTGCCAGCCTCATTAAGCTGGTGTGCTTGGTGCTGAGATACCTTAATGTGTTGAATCTCATTACAGCTTTGATGATCAAATATCCACCAGCTTACTTACGTAACAAAGTTAGTGTGGTTTTCTGAGTAACCCGTTGATTTAAGATGTGGACCCAACACCTGGATACTACAAAACCCAAGCTCCTTAGAGTAAAATGTTAATAGATTTATAGCCTCCCCAATGCAACAGGGAAGCTTGGTTAAGTCTTTGCCTTGGAAGAGCTGAGTCTAATTGGGAAGGCAGCCAATGCAGTCCAGGTGAGGGCAGTAGTGGAAACGCCTGGAGGTGGACACCGGAGACACCAGGTCAGAGGTGTCCTCCTGGGGAGGCTGTGCCAGGCTGGAGAATGAGCAGGACTGGGTGGAACAGGGGTCTTGGGGTGGTGAGGGGACCACGTCTGCTCTAGAGGGTAGAGCACACTTATGGGGAAGAAGTGTCAGTTCCTTAACAGCTGTAGCCTTCAGGCCAGATTGAAGCTTGAATAGTAGTTTTTAAAAATGGAAACCAAAAAAAGAGACCCCCCCACACCCCGGCATCATAAGCTCCTGCTTCCCTCTTGGCACTCTAAAAGAGACAGATACATATATACAAGAAGTCCACAAATACAGAGCAGGACACATAGAACAAGTGAGAAATGCTATTCCAGAGGTGAGCTCACAGTGGGAAAAGCAGACAAGGGGCAGAGGAAAACAAACGGCTACAGCAGCAAAAACGGAAACAGAGGGATGTGAGTGAAGAACAAACTGGCCGGGAGAGCAAAAGCAGAGAGGAGAGCCACGAGAGACGAAGCGAGAGGGCACAGTAGGGGCATCAGAGCCCCCCAAGAGGCCAGAGACAGGGAGAGGTTCAGGCCAGAAGGCTCAGGGTGGGTGATGGTCCTGGATATTCAGAGCGGGCAATTGACATCCTACCCAAGCCTGATTGGGCCCAGGTTTTGCCTCTCTTAGAAAGTGCCCCTGGCTGTAGGTGGCACCTCTTTTCCACGTTGGCACAAGGGCCTGCTTTGCAGTAAGGAAGTCTCTCTGGGGTGTGATCCTTTGCAGAGAAACCCCCTCTATCAGATACCCACCGTCACCTTGCGCTTCTTCTCCCTTCCAAATGCCTGTCTTTGTGACGGGATCTGATCACTTGGAGTAGGAGGGTGAAACAGGCTGATGGGAGCCCAAAGTCTTCCAGGGATTTTGATTTGAGTAGGGGGCCGTCCCTTGGATAGAAAGCAGGCTCGAATTTCACTTGTAGAAGAGGGTCTTCCTGGCTCAAGGTAGCTCTTTGAAGACGGGAGAAACTTAGTTGCAAGCCCACTTCTGGTGCGCTTCATTAGAGAGTATATTCCTCTTTAATTGGGCCTCCTATCGACCCTTCCCGTGAAGACATTTGAAAAGTGTTAGCAAGCGTGGCTGTTTTAGACCAACAGAGCGTGGCTGGGTGGGGCTGGTGTTCAGGCTGAAAGCCCTTCTCAGATCCTGCTCTTTAAAAACTCCTACCATGGCCTCAGACGGTAGCCAATCAAGTGCCCCAGGGCCTGGGGACAGTTACTGGTCAGGTGACAGAGATTGGCTCTTACCTGTGCCATAGGTTTTGGAAAGAGCTTGGAACAAAAATGGCACCAGGGACCACATGAGTAGTTGCTCCCTGGCCAGGAGTGAAAGAAGAACCCTGAGCTGTTTGGCTGACCTGGGATTTGGCTGACCAAGGCTGGATGGACTGGGGGTGGTGGGGTGTGGGAGGGCCCTGTGAGAGCTGGAGACAGGAGCAGCGGAAGGTTGCCCCCAACTAACCAGAGAGTCCTAGGAGCAGATGTTTCTGGAACTCTTTGAAGTCAGCGCCATAGGTCATAAGCTTGCTCAGAGCCTGGAATATAATGAGATGCTTGTGAAACGTTTGCAGAATGAATGCATGAATGAATGGAGGTGGCTGAGGACAGCATCTCTCTAGAGGCCTCCCTGATTAGCAAGAATCCATTCTCAAATCACCTGAAAGGATGGCAAATCATCCTGAGGTTAGACAAGCTTGAAGACTGAATTGTTTCAAGGCTGAATTAAATTCACACGCACAGGCCGGCGCCGTGGCTCAATAGGCTAATCCTCTGCCTTGCAGCACTGGCACACCGGGTTCTAGTCCCGGTCAGGGCACCAGATTCTGTCCCGGTTGCCCCTCTTCCAGGCCAGCTCTCTGCTGTGGCCCGGGAGTGCAGTGGAGGATGGCCCAAGTGCTTGGGCCCTGCACCCCATGGGAGACCAGGATAAGCACCTGGCTCCTGCCTTCGGATCAGCGCGATACGTCGGCCGCAGCACGCCGGCTGCGGCGGCCACTGGAGGGTGAACCAACAGCAAAAGGAAGACCTTCCTCTCTGTCTCTCTCTCTCACTGTCCACTCTGCCTGTCAAAATAAATAAATAAATAAATAAATTCACACGCACAAGGCTCTCGGGAGGGTTTTCCACACAGTGAGCTCTGGAGGTGGCTCAGCCAAAGCCCAGGGACTCAGCTCCCGTGCCGGAGGCCACTGACGGGAGCAGGGTCACCTTCCATTTCCCTGCCTATCCTGGAGGGATAACTGTTGGTCCACCTAGTGGGACAAAGGGGCTGGGCGATGATAGTGCTGCCATCGGGGCCTTTATCATGGAATCTGCACCTCAGGACAAATTGTCAGCCACTCACTCACCTAAAATCAGGCAAGGAGCCACTGGCAATTAAATGCAGGGAAACTTGACTGAAATGTGACTACTCTGGCTTTTTTTAAAAAAAATGAATGTTTGGGTTTAGGAGTTGGGATTTTCCCCCAAAGATACCAATCTTCTAAGAATTCAGGAGTTTTTGATGGGCCAAAATAAGGTCTTAGGAGAAAAAATATAGGGAAAGGAACAGGAAGTCACCGTGATTTGGCCCTATCCATATGGGTTTGGGATTAGGGTCAGAAGCAGAATGCTTGGTGGGCTTGAACTGAGAGGCATAGAGCTGGTAGTGTCCCACTCAGCAGTTGGGATCCCTGGAAATATTTCATCCTCCTTCTCCTACTGATGGAACTTGGGGAAACCTCAGTGTACCTAGCCTGGAAAGAAATCTTTTGAGTGTCCCTTCTGAAATGTTTTATGACTTATCCTAGGCAAGTTGAAGTGTTTCTCTCTTTCATGGGAAATTCACACCTTAATCATGGAAGGCAACTTCACTCTTTTTTGCCCCCAGCCCACATGCACAACGGGGAGGTTTAGCTACAGATCTCTAATCCTAGGTTTGTGCACTCTCCTAGAACCTCCTCCCCTGTGTTGAGGGGATTGTGACCCTTGACTGGGCTCAGAGAGATCCCTGGCTAGACTTAGCCCAAGTTCTTGTCCTCCTGAGAGCAGGAATACAACTGGGAGATGCAGAGAGAGGTGAGCAGGAAAGCAGAATTTATTGAAAGGTGAAGGGATAGTATAGCTCAGACACGAGTGCAGGCGACCTTACGGAAGAGAATGCCCACCGTCCCTCGTCTCTTTAGAGGATGAGGGGGTGGTGCTCAAGTCACAGCCTGATTGAATGTTCAAAGGAGGCAGGGACCGGGGTGGGGCTGCTGTGCATGTGGTGGTCTCCAGGGAAAAAAAACATCACGGCTCCTGGTGCATGATGGGAAGTGAGGCTTAGCTGTGTGTTGGGGAGGTGGTGTGCTGAGATTCTAGCCATGTTGAATCAGCGCAATAGGTCATGAGATTTGAGAAGTCCATATGGCTTGGGTGCTGATCATTCTTAACCCCTCGCCACTCAGTAGCTACCTGCCTACCCAATCATTTCTCCTCTACGAGATTTTCATTCCTTCATCTTTATGGGAGGGGAGAAAGGAAGGTCCATCTTTTGTAACTTCTTTATGCGGTATCAGGCTGTCTTCCCTGCCCAGCCAGGTTACAAAAATCCCTTGCTAACTGACCTAGAGATTTTGTCTGAGGAGCTAGGGCTTTGTCATTGGCTGTTGGCAATGACTGGAGTCTCTGCATGACCATCATTTTTGCGTGAGACTGTTGAATTTTGTAAAAGTTATCTTTGACAGGATGAGCATCCTTGGGCCAAAAAGAAGGAACAAAGATAGGAGCCATGTCAGAGGAGGGAGAGCACTTTTCACCGCTTTGCAGATGGTGATAGCTGAGGGATTCCCCCTACCAAAATTGTGGAGCCCCTTGACTTGATCTCAAATCCTTTTGCTATCTTTTTCCATGAGCCCACGGTTGTCAGTGTAACTGCACGCATTCTGCCTTGTCCTGCCAGTAGGCAATCAGGGGCTAGTCAGTTGTCCATGTCCTCTTTAGCTAGGGAATCTACAGAATCATGTCGTCACCGAAGGGCCTGCCCATCGTTAAAGCAGTTTCCCAAGAGAAGGGGAGAAAAAGTTGGAAAAATGTGAGCACTGGCAAGCACAACAGCCCTACTGCTTACCTTTTTGCTTTCTGAAAATGTCCCTGGAATCCTCAACTGGCTCGCATGAGTAAGCAGAATTGTCCTCTGGGTGCACCGGTGAAGACTACAAGCCTGGGGGTTTAATTCTTGACAATTGTACCAGCCGAGAATTCCTTTAGGAGGACCAGGATACGCTTAGATCCAGGACTTGCGGAGATGCTCTGTTTTGGACTTCAGCAGGGAGGTCATGCAAACGGGGACTTGCATCATGGGACTTACTGGCACCTTGCCAAAAGATTTCAACTTAGAAGGGAAGAGCCCAGGGAACAGGGCAAATCACTG